AGCACTTTGCAGCAAGTTCCAAAGTTCATCCTGATTGCCTGGCTTTTTACTCCTGATTGCTCTGAACAGGATATCCCATACATGTTCAATGGTATTCATATCTGGGCTCTAGGTTGGCCATACCATTTGCTGAACACCCTTATCCTGTAAGAAATCACACACTCCCTTAGTTTAATGGCAAGATGCATTATCACGTTGGAAGATATTGGAACTTTTTCTGCCATTAAGCTCTCTGGCTGTAGGTAGCATGTGATTTCTAAACACTTGAAGGTATTGGTCTTGATTCATGTTGCCTCTGCAATGGTACAAATGACCAACCCCGTGCCAGGATATGTATCTCCAAACCATTGGAGATCCACCACCATGTTTTACAGTAGAGGCTATGCAATCAGGGTGAAACCTCTTAACTTTTTTTTCTCACAATTACCCTCTTTGCTCCACAAAAGAACTGGAATCAACTTTCATCACTCCACAGCAATTTTTTCCAATCTTCTAAAGTTCAGCCTCAATGAGCAGTTGCAAAGTCAAGCCTTCGGTGACAATGTAAGGCTGTAAAAAGTGGCTTCTTCACAACTACACGAGCTCCAAGTCCCACTTTTTGTAGCTTATTTTGGACAGTTTTGTCTGTAATATTGATATTATGATGATCAGTTATCAAAACCTGTATTTCCACAACAGAATGGTGACGGTTATCCAAACTGAGGTGCACAATGGTCCTATCCTCTTAAGGTGTTGTCTTCCTATCCTCTCGAGGTGTTGTCTTCTTTGGCCGTCCACTTCTAGACCTATCTTTTACTTCCCCTGTTTTCCTGTATTTCATCATTATTTTTGTCACTTTGTCCTTCGAAATCTTTATCTCTGATTTAACTTTTCTGTAACTTTTCTCTTTGCTCTATATCGCTCTCCTTCATCTCAAGACTGCACTCTTTTTGATGTTATTTCTGATCAAATTGACCAAGCCCTCTCTCTAATTATCCTTCAGCCAATATTGTTGTTGTTGGTGACTTTAATGCTCATCACACTGAATGGCTTGGCTCTAGTGTTAGTGACTCTGCAGGTGTTACAACTTTGACTTTCTTAATCTCTAATGCAAATAGTCAACTTTCCAACTCACTTTCCAGACAATACAAGTAATTTATCTTCTCTAGTTGACTTATTTTCTGTTTCTGATCCTAGTCAGTACTCAGTTTCTCCACATTAACCCTTAGGTGCTTCTGATTACAGCTTGAACTCTCTAAAACTATTATATCATTTTTCTTCATCATCAGAATCTCTCTATCATTGTACCACTTACAACTACCTAAAAGCTGACTGGGACTCTACAATTCCAAGTCAAGCCTCACTTTTCTCTATGGTTTTCCTCTCATTGTGCTGTTGCAATTTCCAATCGAAACCATTACTTTTATATCTATCAGCAAAATAGTTATCCAGATAATAGACGTCTATTTACTATTGCTAGAAACCATTGTAAAAAAATTTTGTCTAACACCAAAGCCAGCTATTCTTGGGTCACGAAATCTTGTATTTCATCTAAAAAATTAGGCTCTCATGACTTCTGGAGAATCTTTAACAGTATCTATAATAAGGGCAAACCTGTTATGCCCCTCTCTTGTATGGTTCAGATTCTGTCACTTTACTTAAAGACAAGGCTGAATTGTTTGCTAAGTTCTCATCAATATTATCTCTTGGTTCCACTAGTCATGCTGTACCTAATATCGCAGGTTAGTCCTGCGATATTAGGTACAGCTGTACCTAATAACAGGTTAGTCCATTGCCTGACTTTCTTATCACTCCAGCTTTTGTATCCAAAGTAATTTCTTGCTTAGACTCTTCTGCAGCTTGTGGTCCGGACAACATACCTGTTATAGTCAAAACTATTTAACAAGTATTTATCAGAGTCTTGTTTTCCGTCCTGCTGGAAAGCAGCATCTATTATCCCTATTTTCAAAAATTCTGAAAAGTGATAAAATCTCGTCTAACTACTGTCCCATTAGTCTTCATCCTATCATAAGCAAGGTTTTTGAGTCCTTAATTATTAAACACTTAATTTATCATCTTGAATCTAATAACTTATTTTTTGATCATTAATAGGGATTTGAATTTTGTTCTACTGCTGATTTGTTAACGGTAATAGCTGATAGGTTTTATCGTGCATTAGCTAGATGTGGTGAGGCTAAGACTATCTAGTCTTTACTCTATCAAGGCTATCTATTCTTTACTTTATCAAAGGCGTTAGAAATTTCTAATGCCTTTGATAAAGTTTAACATACTGGTCTTCTCTATAAGCTTTCTTCTTACGGTGTATCAGGTAACATCTTCAATATTATTGAATCCTTTCTTACTAATTGTATAAAAGTATCCTCCATGGACAGCACTCTTCTTTATATCCTGTAACTTCAAGGTTTCCTCAAGGTTCTATCCTTGGCCCTATACTCTTTTTAATTTACATTAATTATCTTTCAGATAATCTCACATCAAAGGTGGCATTGTTCGCTGATGA